TGTTTAGGTACGTAGTAATTCTCGGCAGGGATAGCTAGCACAATCGAGCATTGAACGCCGCAACTATCAAAGATCCTTTTCCAATCCCAACGGTAGACGAGATGTTCTACCAATTGCACGACGCCACCTACTTCACGAAGCTCAATTTACGGGCGGGAAATCATCAAGTACGAATGGAGGATGAGGATGTCCCGAAAACGACATTTTGCACCCACAATGGCCATTACAAATACCTCGTCATGCCTTTTGGTCTGTGTAATGCTCCATCAACATTCCAAGCCATCATGCACGAGATTTTTTGTCCTATCCTCCGCAATTTTGTCTTGGTTTTCTTGGACGACATCTTGATGTGAAGTCCCGACAAACCGAGCCATCTTGATCACGTCTGCCAGGTCCTCTCTATTCTTGAACACCATCAATTCTATATTAAGTTCTCTAAGTGCGCTTTTGGGTTACAAGAAATTGAGTACCTTGGGCACATCATCACCACCCATGGTGTGAAGGTTGACCTAAACAAAGTCCATGCAATGGTGGACTGGCCGACTCCAACGACCATCACCGAGCTGCGGGGCTTCCTCGACCTCATCGAACATTACCGGAAATTCGACCGAGGATATGGCTCCCTTGCTCGGCCTCTGACCAACTTACTGAAGAAGGGGCCGTTTGAATGGACTTCAGCAGCAACAGAGGCTTACCACAACTTGAAGATAGCCATGGCGTCAACGCCAATCTTGGCCATACCAAACTTCAATGCCCCGTTTTTCATTGAAATGGATGCATTAGGAATAGGTATCAGGACTTTTTGATGCAAGATGATTGGCCCATCGCTTACATGAGTCGGCCCTTGTGGTAATCCAAACAATCTCTCACGTATGCCAAGGAGACGTTGGCAGTCGTCACGACGGTCAAAACATGGAGGCCCTATATATTGGGCCGCAAGTTCTCATCTAGACGGACTAGAAAAGCCTCAAATATCTTCTGGATCAACGCATCACCACTCCGGAGCAGCAGAAATGGGTTGCGAAATTGATGGTCTTTGACCATGAGATCGTTTACAAACCGGATAAGGAAAATCTTGTTGTTGATTCTCTCATCCGTCAACCAACAGAAGCAATCGTCCTCGTAGTCTCCATTCCACATAAAACTCTGTTGGAATCCCTTCACCAGATGTCTCTCACCAACCCTTATATGCAACGACTTCTAGCTAGGGCGAAATCTTCTTCCCCTGGTCATTATACCATCTGCAACAACATGGTTCTTTACCTAAACAGGATCTTCGTCACTCCCCAAACACCTCACATTCGCCAGCTGTTGGATAAGTTTCATTGCATTCCCATGGGCGGCCATTCTGGGATCGAGCTCACCTACCACCGTCTCGCGTCACTCTCCTTTTGGACCTGGATGATGGACGATTTCAAGAGCTTTTTCAACTCTTGTGATTGGCCCAACGAGCTAAGGCCCAATCACTCTCTCCTGTCGGCCTCCTTCAGCCCCTACTGATCCCGACGGAAGTATGGGAAGACATATCCCTTGACTTCATTGACGGGCTACCTAGATCCTGAGGGAAAACAAAGGTCTTAGTCATCGTCGATTGGCCGACCAAGTACAGTCACTTCTTACCTCTCTCCCACCCGTACTCTGCACGCACACTATAGCTTTGTCACCGGGATCGTACGTCTTCACGGCCTGCTCCGCTCCATTGTAAGTGATCATGACTGTGTATTCATGAGCCATTTTTTGCAAGAACTTCACCTCCAGTCCGGCACCGTCCTCTTCTTACCATCCTCAAATCGATGGTCAAACCGAGGTGGTCAATCGCTGCTTGGAACAATATCTTAAGTGTTTCACTCATCAAAAACCACGGAAATGGCTCGCTTCTCTTCCTTGGGTAGAATATTAGTACAACACCAGCTTTTACAGCTCCGCAGACATGACTCCTTTCGAAGCCCTCTACGGCCGTCGACCTTCCATCATTCCCAACTATTGACTAAGAACTACATACGTTCATGAAGCTGACTGCGCCCTGGTCGACCGCAATGACCTCCTCAACAAGCTGAAATCCAACCTCGTTGTTCCTCAGAAGCGCATGAAACAAAATGCTAACTTCTGCCGCCGCGAAGTGCAGTACGCTGCCGGCGATTGGGTCTACTTGAAGCTCCAACCCTATCGCCAACATACGGTGTTTCGCCGCGCCTCTTATAAGCTGTCCTGTCGCTACTTCGGTCCTTACATGATAACATAATGCATTGGGCTGGTGGTCTATCGTCTAGCTTTACCAGCCGACTGTTGCGTCCATCCCCTCTTCCATGTCTTGTTGCTACGTCGCTGCCTGCTGGCCAACCCCGCTTCTGCCACTGAGGTCCTTCCTATTGGGGATGAAGGTGATCTTCTTCTCCAGCCTGAACGTATTCTAGAGACCTGCTAGGTCAAACGCAACTCTCGCCTGCGCGAGGAGTTGCTCGTTAAGTGGAATGGCTTGGCCGCCAAAGATGCCACATGGGAATCCACCACTGTCTTCTACGAGTGTTTCGTTTAGCTAGGCATTATGGACAAATGTCAATTATTCTAGGGTGGTAATGATGGGCCGCCACTCCATGATGGACCTCTACGTCACTCGACCCGGGTACCACAACCCATCTCCTGCTACTGCGACTATGAGTAGACCAAGCTAGAGAAACATTCAGCTTGTCGTTATAGGAGTAGTGCTTTAGTATTGAAAGAATCAAGTTGTACCCACCTTATTAGGGGTATCAGTAGTTGGTTGTTTAGGTTGTTGTTTAGGGTAGACATGGGAAAGTATTTCCTACAAGTTAGGATTTCATTGTTTTCAAACGTTGGGTATTTAAGTTGATCAGGAATGAATAACATGCAAGCATTATCGAGTCAAAAGAAACCCTGGTTGTTCTAACCAAGAAAGTGGAACGCTGGCTTCTTCCTGCAAAGGAAAGGAAGATCTCGATCGATACAATGTCAGCCTGTTCTCCAACAGCGGCGCTTTCTCGATGATGAACAACTGCTCTTCCCCAACAACGATGCCTTCTTGCGAGGCAAGTTCATCTCCTTCCGCTCATTCTTCTCCTGCTTCCAGTATATGGAGGCGGCAACGGCGGGGGAATCTCTAGCGACGTTAGTCCCCAGGCTTGTCGCCCAATCCCTAGATCCCATCATCGTCTTCTCCCCCGGGGGCAAACCCTTCTCCTTCGGCAACCCCGCCGTCGATCCCATCGTCAACCGATTCTTAAATCAGGATCATGATGAGCAGAGGCGGTCGTTGAGAGATTCCTTGCACCGAAGAGAGAGGCTAGACTCCAATTCGACTTGATAAGCCTAAACCCACCAAAAGTGCATAAATGAAACCCCCCAAATTGAATTAGTACACAACACAAAATAAGTTACACACCCACTCAGCCGCTCCGAAGCTAGTTGCGGCATCTTCACCTTATTGTCATCGTCGCCGACCTCTACCGCACCAGCCTTTCTGAAGCTATCCTTAATCCTGAGATCTATCGAGGAGATGGGAATCGAGGAGCTTGTCGAGATGAGGAGGATGCCGACGAATCTCAGGGAACAATTGTACGAGCGACCATAGGAGATGGAGGCATCTTCAGTTTCCTTCTCTCCCAACAATCCTTCGAATTCGGATTAATAAAACAAGAAAACAAAGTGCCAAATCCTTATCTGGTTACCTTCACCCCAGCAATTGCCACGATTGCAGTCGGCATCGCCCCGATCTTTCTGATTTCATCCTCTGCCTAATCGGCCTCGCTTCCGCCGCCCAATTGGTCGTTCGAATGCCCAGCGAGTGAACAACCGACTAGATGGGCTGTTTCTGGAATTTATCGGTGGAGACGAACAATGCAGGGCTGTGGTCGACGTCGGAGGGATGTCTGGGGTACCGAGTGGATTATTTCACTGGAGTCGAGTACAACTGGTTTTTTGACATCGACGAGAAGGATGACTAGAGAGATTTTGCTAATTACTTTTTCTTTTTTGATATTTTAAATGTAAATTATAGATATCAGGAAAAAATATTTAAATTTGGATTAATTTCAAAATTTTTAATATTTTGTATGTTGACATGGCATATTGACCGTACAAATGTTAATATTTTGTATGTTGACATGGCATATTGACATTCAAGTGTCCGACCAATTAAGTAATAAGGTGCACAGTTGAGACTAAAATGTTAATTTATGAAATCACGGGCCAACGTTGATCATATGGTTATAATTCGGGTTAGAATAAGGTATTAATAAAAAAATAAATACTTATAAGGTCATTGATAGGAAAAACATTAGAGTTGATGGACAACAATGATTAACGCATAACTATTAGATTAAATACAATTTATTAGCTATACCTTTCAACTTTAACAATACATTAGATAATTTCCCAAAATATCAAATTTTAACCAACAGTTAATTTTAGTGTTAATATATTTGTATGACCCGAACTTTTCACAAATTAAATATTCTACCAAATTTTTTTGATCTATAACATCGTGACCTTAACTATGCATCAAAGTTACGAAATTGACCAACCCCGAAATTTGACCGTTATCTTAGACGGTCAAACGCGTTGACTAACGACCAACGCACCATGTCACTGCCAAGTTAGCACATACCACTTAAATTTTTTGATTTTTTTCCACCTATTATCATTTATCTTTTTCAAAATAAAAACAAACGTTCCTTTTTTTCTTCTTTTGTTCAAAATAAAAAAGATAAATGATAATACGTGAAAATAACCAAATTTTTTAAGTGGTCTGTTCTGATTTGGCAGCGACGCGGCGTGTTGACCGTTAGTCAACCGATTAATCGCTTAAGATAACGGTCAAATTTTGGATTTGACTAATTTCGTAACTTTAATACATAATTAAGACGATAATGTTATAAATCGAAAAGATTAATCAGTATGTTTAGTTTTGAAAAGTTCGGATCGTACAAATATATTAACTAAAAGAAATAGAAAATAGAAATAGAAAATAAGTTTTGAAGTTTGCGGCTGGCTTCTGTTTTCCTTACCTTCCCCGCCGCGTTGGAGTTTGTTTCGGTTTCTTTGGCAGATGAATGTAGGCAATGTTGAAGTTGTCTACCAGGCCTTCAATCCGTCTTCTGATACAATCCTGCAAAACCCTTTGCCATCTTCAGCAGTTCCACGCTCACATTATTTGCAGAGGCCTCGAGCAAGACCATTGGACCATCTCCAATTTACTGAAGCTATTAACGTCACTGTCGGCGTCTCTTTCGTACTCGACCTCGGTTTTCAACAGAGTGATCGCTCCTTCCACCTTGCTATACAACGTTCTGTTGAAAGGTTATTCTCGGAATTCCCGCTCCAGGGAGTCATTTCTGCTATATACGAGGATGAAGAAGAGTGATAGTGCGTCCCCAGATGAGTACACACTCTCTTCCCTCCTGACCTTGTGTTCGCGTGAATGTAAGTTGAGAGAAGGTCAAATTGTTCATGGGTCGGCGATTAGATACGGGGTCGCAGTTGACATGTTCGTGGGTTCGGGTTTGATTGACTTTTATGGTAAATGTACTGAGATGATAAGTGCAGCTAAAGTGTTCGACGAAATGCCAGATAGAAACGTTGTCTGTTGGACAGCACTGGTTGCTGGGTATGCAAATGCTGGGGACATGGGCAATGCTAGAAATGTGTTTGGCCGAATGCCAGTGAGGAATTCGGTCTCCTGGACTGCTATGATCATTGGGTTGGTCAAAACCGGAGACATTGTTGGTGCGAGAAAGTGGTTTGATGAAATGCCTCGAAAGAATGTGGTTGATTATACTGTTTTAATTGATGGATATGCCAAGTCCGGAGATATGGCTTCTGCAATGGCATTGTTCGAATCTTGTCCAGAGAAAGATATTGTGGCATGGTCAGCATTGATATCGGGATTTGCTCAAAATGGTATGCCAAAGCAGGCTTTGGAAATGTTTAAAGAAATGGAGTCTGGGGGTGTTAAACCTGATGACTTCATCTTGGTGAGCTTGATGTCAGCTTGTGCACAGATAGGTAGCTTGGATTTGGCCAAATCGGTTGATCACTACCTGAGCGAAACCTCGATTGATGCTTGTCAAGCTCATGTCATGGCTGCCCTTATTGGCATGAATGCAAGGTGCGGGAACATGGCTAGAGCAGAAGTATTGTTCAACAGAATGCCTCAGCATGATCTGATTACGTACTGTTCTATGATAAAAGGATATTCAATTGATGGACGTGGTGATCAAGCAATTGAACTATTCAATAGGATGCTAGATGAGGGGTTGGTTCCGGATGAGGTTGCCTTTACAGTGATTTTGTCAGCTTGTAGTCGAGCTGGCCTTGTGGAAGAGGGTTGGAATTTTTTCACTACTCTCACGGATAAGTACTCCTTAGTCCCAACTCCTGACCACTACGCATGCATGGTTGATCTTCTGAGTAAGGCAGGACGGCTTGAAGCTGCTTACCAGCTTCTAGTATCGTATCCTTTAGAGCCTTATGCATGTGCTTGGGGTGCACTTCTTGGAGCTTGTAAGCTTTATGTTAATCTTGAGTTGGGTGAGACAGTTGCCACTATACTATTTGAGCTTGAACCACAAAATGCCGCTAATTATGTTCTGCTGTCTGACATTTATGCTGCATCAGATCGTTGGTTGGATGTTTCTCTTCTTAGAGAAAAGATGAAGGAGAGAGGGCTTAGAAAAATACTGGGTTGCAGTTGGGTATAGAGCTTAAACTGTGGATTCTTGGTGTTGGCTTAATGACAGCATCTTCTACTCCAGATTTGTGGTTCTGTCCATATGGAGGTAATCCGAAGGAGGGACAACAATTTTTCACGGGGAACCACCTCCTTCTGAAACTTTGCTGTTTATTGGGCTTTTCGTTGCTTGTAATTTCACGTACATGCGACTTCAAACTTAATTGATTGGGTTTTGTACCTAGTTGCTCATGGAATACTCTACTATGCTGCTGCATGATAACAATTCAAGGTACCTGCTATGGGGAATGGCTTTGTTCTCTCTGTCCTTAAATAAGGGTTCAAAGATCATCTGGCAATGCTTCCTTTGAGCTATCGCCTGCAGTGTGGGCTATTCTAACTGATCTTGTTTGCTGGAGAACATCATTTCAGTTCTCAAGTCAGGAATGCAGTTGCTTTCACTGTTAATCATAGAAAATAGAGGGTGTCACAGGTAAGAGGCACAGTCCCCATAATGTTACCACTAACCTCTTTCGATTGGTTATTTTAAGACTACTAGATCTATAAGGGACTATGCCCTCTATTGAAGATGAGGACTTTCCTAGATGATATTTTTTGCAAAAGGTAAAGGAGATTCTGGTTCATCACAATGGACAAGCATCGTGTGGCTATCCAAGTAGGAGATTGCAGCAGCTGCATTAAGAGTTGCACCAACAGGAGTGATTCCTCATCAATCAAGAATTTAAGGCGAGTGAAGTGGCTGATCTGATTTCAGAGTCTCGTTCTTTATTCCAGTGACAAAAATTGTAGCAGGCATCTTCCCCGAGGTGGAACTGAAATCCTCTGCACCCATGGTGACTAGAAAAGTGTGCACATTGGATTCCCCAAGTAAGAGTTCTCCAACCTTCCTGACATGCTTATAAACTGCTTCTTCGTTAATCATGGGAGGATGTGGGAGATGTCTGTGCTCCATGAAGTCCATTGTGACATTGCACCTATGCACTGCTGCCTGCATTTCGATTATCTGGAAAGAGAATGAGCAGACACTGTTTTGTTACTTGACTTCACTGATTTGAAAAACACAATTACAAACACAGTAGTATTAAATAAGTTATAAGGGACTCTTTTACCACTTTAATTCCCCTTGAAGGTTGTGCAGACCTTTTGTGCTTAGACTTCTAAAAGTAACTTCATATCGCACTGAATCGGGAATTACATTTCCTGCTTTGCCTCCTTCCATCGATCCCACTGTCACCAACTATTCATTTTTGGAAAAAAGTGATGTGAAATTCATTGTTTAAACTGCTACTGTGATGGTCTGGGCTGTGATATCTAATGAACCTGCAAACTATTATGAGAAATAGGATTTTACTGCAGCCTCAAGGGGATCAGTCTCTCGTGATACTATCTATTGGAGAGCAACTATTGCAGAAGATGCCGCCAGAAGCAGGTCTCTACCCATATGCTGGGATGGGGCATGGACTCCAACTCCATGGATTGTTGCAGAGAAGAGCCCTGCTCCCGCAAGAAATGGACCAGCTCTTGAAGCAATCGCATCCAGTAGGCACTGAGGGCAGAACATGTATGCTTATGATGGCATTCAGACCAACGTGACAACTGTCTTGTAACATATGGTAATCACCAGAATAACCCTCTTCCCCTGGCTGGAATACAAGCTTGACAGTTCCCTTCAATATGTGAACAGCATAAATAAATCAGCACAGAAATTCAAAAGGATTAATCACTTCCAGACTTCGTGTTGCAATTCACCTCAAGTGTGTCAATTTTGGCATGGAGTAACTCGGTGGCACCAAGGGCAAGGAGCATTGCAACATGAGAATCATGGCCGCAAGCATGCATCTTCCCGCCAATGTTGCTCTTGTGCTCCCACTCTACCTTTTCCTTTGGAACCCAGAAACATGAAGTCAAAAAGAGTTCAGTAGCAATTTCATATAATACCCTTTTGTTTCCGATATGCAGGTGAAAACCGAGAGGAGAAGAAGAGAAGACCTGAAGAGGGAGGGCATCCATGTTGGCGCTGAGAGCAAAAACTGGCTTGTCATCGTTTCCATTGGAAGCGACCACACCACAGTGAGCAACTCGCCATTTATAATCAATCCCAAGTAAATCAAGCTCAGCTCGAATGATCTCACTAGTTCTGTGCTACTCAAAACCTTGCTGTGGAAAAACTCATGAATCCTCCGTCTGATCCCTCTCGTCCACTCAAAGAACTCCGGCTCCTTTGCCGATATAATTCTCTAAATACACATAAAACTAAAACAAATTCATAAACTACCACACTTATAAAAAAATTTTCCTAAAAGACCTAAGTTTGGAGTGGTTCGAGTTTGAAGAACTCGAACTACTAACCGGTTCGAGTGTAGGAGACTCGATCTAGTCGTAGATCGATGATATAAGCCTCGAACACCACTCCTTTGAAATTTCCAACCATCTTAACTTTGTGCTTGGTTATTCGATCGTAGCAAACTTTTTTTTTCATTTCGCATAACTTTTTGAGAACTACAACTTTTATAATAGAAATATTTTCAGAATATATGTGAAAATATGAAAATTAAAGTTAAAGTTACTCCCAGAACCCCTTATATTAAAAATTATTCCTATTTTGAAAATTTATTCCTAGTAAATGTTGTAGTACTCAAAATTATGCAAAATAAAAAAAAAATCTTTGCGACGTTCGGATTGCGGAGCACAAAGTTATGATCCTCCAAAGTTTGACAAATTCGAAATTTGCTCGTTTATGGGTAGCAAATGACGTTTTCTAGGAAGATAGCCATCCAAAAATTTCTCGTTTGGAAAAATATTGCTCTTTTGGCAGAAATTTCCTATATATAAAAAAATTTCCCGTGCCTTCACCCCGAGAAAATGTCATTTGTTACCCTAAACGAGCAATTTTTCGATTTTGCCAAATTTTAGAGGATCGTAACTTTGTGCTCCGTAATCCAAACTTCGCAATGTTTTTTTTTTATTTTGCATAATATTTTGAGTACTACAACATTTACTAGGAATAAATTTTCAAAATATGAATAATTTATAATATAAGGGGTTTTGGGAGTAACTTTAACTTTAATTTTCACATATATTCTAAAAATATTTCTATTATAAAAGTTGTAGTCCTAGAAAAGTAATGCAAAATGAAAAAAAAGTTTGCTACGATCGGATAACTGAGCACAAAGTTAAGGTGGTTGAAAATTTCAAAGGAGTGGTTCGAGTTCACTGAACCCGAACCACTTCAGCCCCACATGGTTCGAGGCTTATATCATCGATCTACGATTAGATCGAGTCTCCTACACTCGAACCGGTTAGTAGTTCGAGTTCCTCAAACTCGAACCACTTCAAACTTAGGTATTTTGGAAAAAATTATTTATAAGTGTGGTTGTTTAGGAATTTGTTTTAGTTTTATGTGTATTTAAGGAATTATCCCATGAGTTCCTTAGTCAGTGACTCCAACCCTGGATGTTCATTGCCGGCGACGGTAAAACCAAGAGAATGACCCAACATCAGTAAATGACCAGCAAGAAGCAACAACTGGACCGGCCGCATGCGACTCCGCCGTTATTCCGTTGGTGGGGTTCTATAATGAAGAAAAGAAAACCATCTTCATCTATTGACTCAATTAATACACGTCCAAAGCCATAAGAACTTATTACAAGCCAACCATTTTTCTTTGAACACTGGTAAAAAAGTTTTAGGATTACAAATTCGTGCTGTGGAATATCTCTACTACGATATCATCCATCAGTATTTCCAGTTTCTTTACGTTCCGCAGCAGCAGCAACACCACCGGCGCCCAAGTAGGAAATGGCGGCAGCAGCATGGAGAGCTGCTCCTACGGGGAGCACATCCTCGTCGATGACGAGTCGTGGTGAATGCAGCGGCTCCACTGGTCGTGGGCCCACCTTGGTCGTCCTAGCACCAATCATGAAGAAGGCGGCGTTCATCTTCTGAGAGTAGAAGCTGAAATCCTCTGCCCCCATGATCGGCGGAAGTAGCGTCACGTTTGATTCCCCCAGCAGTGCTTCTCCAACCAGCTTGGCGTGGCCGTACATTTCTCGGTAGTTGACGGTGGGCGGATACGGCCTCATGGTTTCCATCATGAAGTCCACCGAGCCACTGCACCGGTGGACTGCCGCTTGTCCCTCCACCACCACTCTGATCCGCTGCCTGAGATCATCTAGCCCTTCGGCGGTCGTGCTTCGGAAGGTGCCCCCCAGCTTCACCGTTTCCGGGATCACGTTCTCCGCTCGGCCGCCCTCCACGAATCCTACTGAGATCACCTGAACCAACGACATACCAACCACCATTCAGATTTCTTTTTCGTTTCCCCTTTGGGTTGGAAAAGTAAGAGATTGGGAAGGAGGAATTGATGGGAGTAAGTAGTACCCCAGCTTGAAGAGGGTCAGTTTCGCGTGAGATGATTTGCTGGAGGGCGAGGATGATGAAGGAAGCAGCGACAACTGGGTCCCTTGTGTCCTGTGGCCGGGCGGCGTGCCCCCCGATCCCTTTGACGGAGGCCAAGAACCTTCCTGAGCCGGCGAGGAATGTTCCTGGTCTGGAACCGATTGAGCCGACCGGCATCTCGGGTGCCACGTGGAGGCCAAACATTGCCTGGATGTTGTCCAGAGCACCGGTTTGGAGCATGTGGTAAGCGCCAGCTCGACTTTCTTCTCCTGGTTGGAAGACCAATTTCACAGTGCCCTTCTCCGGATGTTGAGTTAAGAGAGTTGATTACACGAAAGAAATAAATTAAGATCACGGTAGACTGATTGTAGTTTATGAAGGTGGTTTACCTTTATATCGGCATGTTTAAGTTTAAGCAGCTTGGCAGCGCCGAGTAGCATTGCGACATGGGCGTCGTGGCCACAAGCATGCATCCTGCCCTTGTTCTTGCTCTTGTGTTCCCAGTCTACCATTTCCTGTACATAAACAAACATTTCGATTAACACGCTTAATTTTGCTCATGGAGACTGTCAGAGTCAGGTTTGCTGTGGTTAAAATAGACCCATTATTTTTATAAGGTTGATATAGTTTTTTTTTTTATTAGAATTCCAACATGGAACATCCAGGTTTAAGGCTAGTGGTATTACCACCTGACCAATTTCTTGTTCGTCCAATTCATAAATTGTTGATATATAAATATCTTAGCTCTAGGTTTGTTATTTTTGGGTAATGTCTATTTTTTATCCAAACTTTTTTTAAATTCTTTTATATTATCCTAACCTATTAAAATACAAAGAATTAGCCAAATGTTAACTTTCAGTTAGCCATTTTGTTAGTAATATTGATTTGGCAAAATGATATTGACTTGAAAGAGACTCATGAATGTTAACATTCAAAATATCTAATATTTTAACTAAGAAAAGAGTTACAAAATTATGAACGATAACGTAAAAATGGCTAATATTTTGATGCATTATGAAAGATTTGGATAATTAATAGATTTTAATAAGTTTGGATAATATAAAAGAATGTAAAAGGAATTTGGATAAAAAATAGATATTACCCTTATTTTTATTGTAAATTTCATCAACTATTACATTATTCAATTTTACACTATTCAACTAAAAGCCAACCGATCCAGTATATATCAACGATGGAGTTTTCATTTTCGAATCCTTATAAATTGACAATATTTATGAGTTTTCCAGTTATTCAACTAGAGGTCATCTATCAAGTGTATTTCAATCACATCTATGATCTATTTATGCAATACTTTTTGAATCCTTATTGATTGACAATTTTGTGAGTTTCCCAACTATTTCAAATAAATTTTTTATATTTGCACACTTCTATTTTCAAATATGAGGCCTATTTTGCCATCAAGTTCAATTTACTTTCATAGACTCATAGCTTAAGAATATAGTATTTTAGGAAATGACTCGGTAGTTTCAACATGGCCTTATATTGTTACATTTACTAATTCACATAATTAAAAATTGCATTGTGTGAGCTTTTATTTTTTGTTTAACATATTAATTCATATTTACAAAAATACAAATTTTACCGAACACCTCATGCGAGGACTTTCGATCTTGTTATTTAGAGATTTGTATAATTTAGAGGCTTCGAAAAGTTCGAATCAAATTAATCGTAAGTATAAAGTTTCGGCCAAATTGTGATATTAACCTATTTTATATGGTAATGGTGATTACTCGGACCTTTCATTAATTAACGGCTTTTGTTCGCCCTAATCACAATTACTACGGATCGGATTTTTATATTCTATATCGTATAAACTAATGAAAATTTCAATTTAACCATGATCAAAAAGCCAAAAAGTAAACGAAATCACAAGACATCCCACTTTTGACGGAGACACAGGCGGCCAAAGAAGAACGAACCTGAATGGGCAGAGCATCCATGTCTGCTCGCAGACCGAACCACGGCTGCGACCCTGACCCGATCGAACCAACAACGCCGGTCTCCGCCACCGGCCAGGTGTATTGAATACCGAGTGAGTCGAGCTCGGATCTCACCAGTTGACTCGTGTTGAATTCTTGGAAAGCCAGCTCCGGGTCCTCGTGGATTCGCCTCCGGACGCTTTTCAGCCACCCCAAGAAATCCGGCTCCCTCGCTATCCGCAGCAGCTCCTCAGTCAGCGAACTCAGCTGCTTAGGTTGCCTTGCACGATCCTCCTCCTCCGCCGCCGCCTCCGCGTGGCACGTGCAGAGTATCAACGTTAGAGTTATTAACCATCCCATTGAGTTGACAGACAAAGAGGGAGTCAATTCGAGGAAAGTTTAAGCCTTTGGAGCTTCCGTCGGTAAAGGAACGAAAAGGTATCGCTTTCGTTTTTACGTTTCGTTGGAGAAGAGAACAAAGATGTCGTTTTTGATGGCGGAAGTTCTGATGGGTAAGCAATTGGCGTTACCCCACCGTCGCTTTCACTTGAGGTGAGTGTGAGCACCGAGTAGGGGTGTTCAAATGGTTACCATGGTAATAACCAAATCAATTAAGTCTAAATTTCATTAACCATAGAATAAAATGTTTTAATCAAATCGTCCAAATGAACACGAAAACCAAATTAACCAAACCAAAATTTAATTGGTTTGGTTAATCGGATTAACCAAATAACATAACATTACATAAAACAATAAACATGTTAATAAATAAAACATAACCATATGTTGTTACTATCATAATCTATCATTATATATAAGCAATAATAATAACACTAACCATCCATGATTATCATCATCATTCGAGTTAATACATCATTCATCATCTCTGCACCTAATATAGTTAGCTTACAACAAACCCTTAACATAAATACTTACTAATATCCCTCGTTAGGAAGTTTAAACACTTCTATAAAACACTTAAACTATACATAGTTCGAGGTAGTTGTCATGGTATTGTACGTAATCCTAAAGTCTAGTAGCTATCCAAAATGTGTTGGTTTAGTAAATACGCAGGCCCACTTTTATTTTTTGACCCATATTATTTTGGTTTATTGTGCACATGGAAATAAAATAGGAAATCACGGAAGTTTGGTTTGGTTGGTTGTATGAAAGTATAAATAATCTTGTATATTAGGTGTATTAATTGGGTTCATTGGTTAGCAATGTTGAAACAAAACTAAACCACCTAAACCAAATAAGCTAAATTGTTTAACCAAACCAAACCAATTATCCAAATTAACCAAACTAAATTAACCGAATATTACTGGTTAATATGATTACCACGGTAACTAATCCGTTTGAACACCCCTAGGCCACGAGGCTGACGAGTTCAACCAACATTCACCATAAGAGCTTTACCTATGTGGCGTAACGTTGACACGGTGGGCTATTTGTAGTGTCTATGGGCTTGGGGAAGCGAATTACTACATTAGGAAAAATTTGGGCTGGGTCGATTTACCAAACTAAAGGCTAAGATTATCTAGGTATTTGACCACAAGGATATAATGGCCTGATTCATCATCTTGTTCGTTCTTTAAATATTTGTTCTGGGGGATGATCTACGTCTCCACCGCCAAGCTCGCCGTCATCGACGAGCCGGAACGACCGAGTCTCTCGCCGATCACTGCCGCTGCTGATCCTGCTTTCTCCACTCCGGAGGAGAAGGAGCACCGGATCACGAAGCCGGTGACCTGTCCTCCAGCGCCGCTCAGAGCTCCCCCGAAGCGCAAGCTCTCCCGCTCCGCGATCCTCAAGATAACCTAAAAGTTCCGGGCGGGCAGGGAGTTCTTCCGCTCGCCAGAGCTCGAAGTCGCACTCGTTGTCAACTTTTTCGCTGTCGAGACCGCCCGTCGAGCTCCTCTCAAGTGCGATCTCCGGACTCTCAAGTACTTCCCCTAGCTACCGACATCGTTGAATTGTCTTGTAATTAGGATTTCACCTGGGAATTGTTTCGAATTTGGGATTCTCTCCTTGGGTTGCTCGGAGATTAGGCTGCCGGCGGATCATCTCCCCCACAGGCCTGAATGCGGTCTTGTCAGTTATAATCACGAACAGGGTGGCGGTTACGCTTCTTGGCCGACGGTTCAGATAAGTATTCCTTTATCATTTATTTTTTATTATTATTATTATTGTTATTTATTTATTTCCCTTAATATATCCTTCATACTTTATTTGTTTTTAATTATTCTTTCAAACTTTTTTCATTTTTCTCGTATGTATCTATTGCCTTCTTTTTAAAATTATATACTTTCAAATTGTTAGGTCTCCGAAATTTAGGTTGTACCTTTTTTAAAAATAAAAATAAAAGTTTAGGTGTGTATCGGGTGGTGCCGGTTATCTAGGGTTTCCCGATGACCTGGTACTCTATTTCAAGGGCGAATTGCTGCCTTGTGTCTATGTTGACTTGTTGGCTCTTTGGCTTGGATGGTCCTGGTAGGGACCTTTGTTTGCTCATTTTGCAGGTGAAGATTCAATTGCACAATAGTCGATCGGTGGCGGGTGTCTTGTCCACTAGGTGGCCTTTTGATGAGATTTGATGGAGCACTTGGAAATGACGCCCCTGATGTTGAAGGAACCCCTTGAACACTATTAATATTTAGTTTGATGGTGCGGTCAAGCATAGTCACGAAGGTAGTATTGCTTTTGTGGGTTTCCAATTGTCAATTGATACAGCGGGATGGTGGGAGGCGACTTGGCGCATGATCGGGGTGGGCTCTATTCGAGGATACTCGGAGCTTAGCTTCTCACTTCAGTCGGATTTCTTACTGCTTTGTTTCTGTTCGACTAAATAGGGCTGCCCATCATGTGGCACAAAAGGCCCTCTCATCGGGAGTTCGACTATTGGTGTCGACGATCCCGGGTTTTCCTTTCTTCCTCCTTGTGACTATCTTTTCAACACTAACTTTGCGAAAAAAAAAATATTTGTTCTGGTAAATGAGATGAAAAGAAAAGCCGGAGATTTTCGGGTCTGTCGGCCTATCACTTGGTATAACAGTCAGGTCAGGTCGTTCCCCGGCTCCTGGTTCTCGTATTGTTCAGGTGGATGTTACCATTTCGAAATGGTTATAGTCTACCAAACTTCCTCCAAAGTTACTCTTCTTCCTCTAGCAATGCTTACAACGGGCCCTTTCGACTCGTGAAGCCTTGACGTTGTGGGAGTTGGATATCATTCCAATCTGTCCAGTTTGTGGGCGAAAAGAGACACTAGAAAATTTGTTTTTCTACTGTGTTGGGGCTCGTCGTCCTTGGCACAAAGTTGGGTTGTGAATTTTCTAGCAAGTGGCAGGAAACGATCCTTCATGGGTTTTGTCAGGCAAAATTTGTTAGCTATTTAGCTGGGGAAGCGAATTACTACATTAGGCAAATTATGATGTTCTTCCGGTCGTTTGTCTACTTTAGCGTTTATGGAAGAGTAGGTGCAAAGTGCTTTTTGATTACGCGCAACTACAAGTGGAGATTATTTTATGGGCAATGGGGCAATCATGTCAAGGAATTGGATTGTGCCATTCCACATCGTTTGCATTCCTCTCCAATTTCACAAGATTCCACAGTGACGGATGGTGCTAGAGTTTTGAGTCATGAGGCTTCTTGGCAAGCTATTACGGTAGAAAAAAAGAGGGTTCTTTGATTGTGCTACTTCACGGGAAGGTCATGGATCGGCCGCCTTTGTGGTTTTGGATGAATGCGCAAATTTTGGGTTGGCTCGGGCCCAAATATACCCAAGGATCTCTAATCCCTTCACTTTGGAGGCTTTGGTGTTGCACTGCTGTGATATTGTTTTAAGGCAATGCAACCGCCTTGGAATCTCTTTGGGGGCAATTTATGATGATGCCAAGTCTCTTATTGATCAATGTCCGTCCAGCTGCCTTTTGGATGTCAGGGCAGCAGTGATACTTCAGGAGATTAGTCTTTTCTTAGTGACATGGTTGTGTTCTTTTACGATTTCCAGGTCACAATGGTAACATGGACATGGAGGCTTATATGATGACCCCTATATAAACCTTCCCTGTCCATTAAATTCATCATCATCTTTTCTTATTCTGCACAAGAGAACAACGCGAACAGAGAGCGTACAGGGGAGCGACGAAAAAGTTCCAAGACTCGATTCTTGAGCTCTAGTGATCCAAAAATTTCGTAAGTAATGCCTAATTCATCTATACATCGTGATTTATTGATTTAGAGCTTTAAAGCGAGTTTTTGGTTTAGGAATTTCTTGAATTCCCGATAAGTCAAATTAGGTTTCGGAGTATCCGGAAGTCGGATTGAGCCCAAATTTCATATACGAGCTTCCTGCAGCGAGGTAATCAATCCTTTAGTTCTAATTCATGAATTTCAGCAATTATTTAGGTCGGCGTCCAAATCGCTGAATTTAGCTCCGACCAGGGTTTGATGTGTTTTTATCGAGAATTTGATCCGGAGCCTAGAACTAACATTGCTTGGAACACTGCAGGGGATATTAGGACAATCTCGGATTTTGATTCCGGGTTTGTTTGAGAAAGTGAAGTTGGGGTACAGGAGGCTAGAACCGGTGTTTGAACGACCATAATTGGTGAGGGATTAGCACGGCATACCGAGTTTGTCGTATCACGATAGTTATATATTGATGCTTAGAATTGACCTAGGTGAACTAGAATGGCATGATTAGGGGTGTATGGACTTTTCTGCCATATGATGAGCCATGGATTATTGTATGTTATTATTGACTTTCCCTAATCGATATGGACCTTGTTTATGCTGATGATTGTGTATATGTTGCACATTGTGGGCTTGACTGTTAATATCTTTTATGATGATTCGAGGAGGTGATTGGGTATGGTTTTTCATGATTGTTGTATTTGGATGCACATGTGGGAGAATATATATTCCCTAGTGATAGTATGACATTTAAGGAGGATGACTTGCACGAGGGTTTATCCCGAGGAAGTGCAATTATACGACTCCTGATTTACCTATGTTGAGCCAATTGTGGCCAGGTCAAGTACATGTGCAAGTAGCGAATTATGATTAAGCAAGATAAGATATGGATCATGGATAAGGATACCAAGTAAGAGTACTTTGGTCTCATGGTCAATTACATAGTAATTAGGGCTCCCCATGCTATTACTCCGTTATGATATGTTATGTCACACCCCTGATGTGGTGTTGACCGTTGATTCATCATGAGATATGACCACACACAGAGTGGTGTTGAGTCCGATATGACCACACCCAAAGTGGTGTCAGGTCCGATATGACTACACCAGCAGTGGTGGGTCCGATATGACCACATCCACGAGATGTTTGGTCCGTATGCCCGGGAGAGTAATTAGCATGGGAGTAGCCAGGCGCCTATGATTAAGCAGTAGAACATGACAGTTACAGAGTACACCATCAAGTTTGTTCGCCTACTCTATTTTGAGGATGGGTTAGCGGATACAGAGCATAAGAAGAAGATGAGATACTTACATGGTCTGCGCCTAGGGATGAAAGAAAAGATCCACAGTGTTGATGAAGAGAGCATGGCTACTATCAAGGAGGCATCACTTAAGTATGAAGCCTATGAAGTTGAGAGTCGAGAGGAACACAAGGCCAAAGAAGAGAAGAAGAATATGAAGTTTGGAGTGAGTTATTCTGGACCTCGTTACCCATCCAAGAGAGGTCCCAGCGCTTATGGGAGAACACCGAGTCACTCTATGTCGGGAACATCATACAAGGCACCAGTTTCCTCAGCCACACAAGCTCCAGTTTGTCAAGTTTGTCAAAAGAGACACTTTGGAGAGTGTTGGAGGTTTTCTGGAGTATGCTTTCAATGCGGCCAGCTGGGTCACATCATGAGGAACTGTGCTTACTCTAGGTGGAGGAAGACCTACTCAGTCCGAACCTTCAGTGCACTTTAGTAGAGCCCCAGCCAGAGGTGGTTACCAGGGAGGCCGTAGTGGATTTCAAAGTGGTCGTGGTGGTTCACAGGGTGGTAGAGGTGGTGGTCAAAATTAACCATCAGGAAGGGGTACTTAGGGTGTAGGAACACAGGGAACACCAAGGGTTTATACAATGACTCAAGGTGAGGCAGAATTGGCACCAGAAGTTGTGACTGGAATGCTTTCTATCCTTGGAAAGCAAACTTATGCTTTGATCGATACTGGTTCCTCTCACTCATTCATGTCATATATGTTTGCACATATGCTACGCTTAGTCCTAGATAAGCTAGGTTATACCTTATGTGTTAAAACACCTGTGGGAGATACCTTGAAAGTAGATTCAGTCATTAGAAGTTCCTTCATTTGTGTGGAAGGAGCTTTCCTAGAAGCAGATTTAATTCTGCTACCTTTTGATGAATTCGATGTCATCCTTGGGATGGACTTTCTGGCAACACATGGAGCTATTGTGGATTGCCAAAAGAAAGATGTTATTCAACACACTAGATAAAGGTCCAGTTGTATTCTAAGGCATTAAGAAAAAGGAGACTCATGGTTTTCTTTCTGCCTTGGAATCTTTTCGATTAGGGAAGGAAGGTTGTGAAGCCTTTCTTGCTCAAGTTACTGTTGTAAATGAGAAGAAGGTTGAGGATGTAGAGGTGGTAAGGGAGTTTCCTGATGTATTCCCCAAAGAACTTCCCGGCCTTCCATCAGAAAGGAAGTAGAGTTTGATATTGAATTGGTACCTGGCACAACACCAATTTCAATGGCACCATATAGAATGGCACCAATTGAGCTGAAGGAGCTTAAAGAACAATTGCAAGAATTGCTAGACAAGGGTTTTATTCGACCTAGCATCTCACCTTGGGGTGCACCGGTTTTGTTTGTCAAGAAGAAATATGGTCCATGAGAATGTGCATTGACTACCGGAGGTTGAATAAAGCAACAGTGAAGAATCGTTATCCCCTCCCAAGAATAGATGACTTGTTTGATCAATTGCAGGGTGCATCAGTCTTTTCTAAGATTGATTTGAGGTCTGGATACCATCAATCGAAAGTGGCAGATGGAGCAACCTCAAAGACAGCTTTTAGAACAAGATATGGACATTATGAGTTCCTGGTAATGCTTTTGGACTCACTAATGCGCCAACAGTATTTATGGCTTTTATGAACAGAGTTTTTCATGAATATGTTTGTGACTGTGTTCATAGATGATATTCTCATCTATTCTAGAAGCGAAGAGGAGCACAAAAATCACCTTAGAATTGTATTGCAAATTCTAAGGGAGAAACAATTATATGCAAAATTCTCAAAATGTGAGTTTTGGCTGAAGGAGGTAATATTTTTGGGACGTAATTTCTGGAAGAGGAGTGGAGGTGGATCCGAAAAAGGTGGAAGTAGTGGTGAATTGGGCTCCACCAAAAGATGTGTCGGAGTTGAGAAGTTTTCTTGGCATGGCGGGTTACTATCGGCGGTTCGTAGAAGGATTTTCTAAAATTGTTACACCATTGACTAAACTGTTGAGGAAGAATACCAAGTATGTTTGGGATGAATCATGTCAAAAGAGTTTTGATGAAGTGAAGAAGAAATTGACCACAGCACCAGTGCTTGCTTTACCTTCAAACCATGGGGAGTTTGTGGTGTATAGTGATGCCTCGTATCAAGGATTGGGTTGTGTGTTAATGCAAGATGGAAGAGTTATTGCATATGCCTCTAGGAAACTGCGTCCTCATGAAGTAAATTATCCCACTCATGATTTGGAGTTGGCAGCGGTAGTATTTGCTCTCAAGATTTGGCGACATTATTTGTATGGTGAAACCTTTAAAATCCTAACTGATCATAAAAGCCTGAAGTATATTATGGATCAGAAGGATTTAAATAGTTGCCAGAGGAGATGGATAGAGTTGTTGAAAGATTATGATTGTACCATTGATTACCATCCAAGTAAAGCTAATGTAGTTGCTGATGCCCTAAGCAAAAGGGGAAGAAGAATATAAATGATCTGGTTGATTTGAGGGAAATGAATGTGGATTTGGAAGTGGATGGTGTAACAGGGTTACTAGCTCGGTTG